GGGGGGGGGGGAGAAAGAGTGTGGCTGCCTAGCTGCAGATCAACTCACCTTTTTCCTACAGAGCTGTTAAGAGACCAAGAAAACCCAGTGATATTTAACTATTTATAGGTTTAATGATACAGCATTATATAAAGCTTGCAAACATGAAATTATGTACATATGTCTATATACATACACACACATGTATTAGCCCAGAACAGATGGCCGGCCGGCATGCACGCACTTTGTAACAGGCTGGCCTTTCAGGGCTGGGTCTTGGTGCTGGCTGCCCACCTGCTCTGGGTTAAGCCCCCACCTCACTCTCCTGCCACACTTTGATGAAAATAATATGAATGTTATTCCTAAAAGGCAGGAGACTGCCCATTGTTTGACCTCTTGATAGCCCAGGCCTATGTACACACTCTGACCTCCCCTTACATGTGTCCTGTACCTTGCAGCTGTTTCTATGTTACATCTAGTATTTCCATATTATCCCATCTATGATATCTGTTCCCCAAGTCAATGGTTCTTTCCCTCACTAGGACTACTCATCTTTAACTGGGCACTCTATATACTCAAACCCTCATTGGGCTGCTTACACTCCCAGCCTGTCACTGGGCTGCTGGGGTCTTTTACCCAGTGGGGCTCAGGTGACTGCTGCCATGCTTGGCCCCCTACACTGGGGTCTTCCACCCTGTGGGGCTCAGGTGGCTGCTGCTGTGCCTAGCCCCTAACACTGGGCTCAGGTGTTCCCTTCTAGGCTTGCCTGGCCCAGGTCTCTTCCCTTGGGAGTAAACTGTCCAGGGGCTGGGGTTTTCAGGCACCTCTCCTTGCCTTTCACTGGAGTGGTAACTGGTCTGGCAGTTCTCAGGGACTATTCCACCATGAACAGTCCCACCAAACTACCCATCCCCAGCAGGGTGCAGTTTTAGGTCTTACCCAGGACCAGGAGCCTCCAAATCACCCCCATAGCTCCTGCCCTTACCTCCAACATATTCCAAGAGCAGCTCAACCTCATATTGTTTCCTGGCCTGCTCAGCACAGACTGCCCTTTCACTAGCTGAGGGCCTGGGTTAAAATGGAGGCTGCTCCGCCCCCTCAGCCAATCCCAGGGTCCTCCTAGGGTCATGTGCCAGCCTTGATGAGGCTAGCACCCACCTGCCAGCTGCTCCACTGCCAACTAGAAACCTTAAAGTGGCAGGCACTCCAGGTGCTCTGCCACACGCCTGCTATTCACAGATATAAATTTACAAAGGTGATAGCTTTGTTAACCCTTGACTCAGGCACAGGCCTAGTCCTCTGTGGCCCTCTGATTAATCTGCAGCCTCTGCCCTCCTCAACAGGGCTCTTCAGGCAACAAGCAAAGGAGCACTTAATGATAAAACACAGGCTAATCAACAAACAATGAAAAGAATATCTGGCAATAATGGGACAAGAATTTTACATACGCAATCAGGTTACATCAAATGAAATACACATATATACAGATAACCCATACAATAAGTTCAGATATAAAACAGCTTACAGTCCTTTACAGGACAACGATAAGAACGCAGGTTACAACAGGAATCCCAACAGCATAAGGAACTAGACCACAACAATGGCACAGCAGCTGTGCCCAAGGAAGAAATGGCAACCCAGGGAAAGATCCTGTTAACTAATAAAACATCATTAGCCTCTCCCAGGTTACTCAACTAGGAGGGACTCATAACTATGACACTACCCTGAACAAACAGGGGAGCCCTAGACTCCTTTCTGTGCCCAAGGGTGAATCGTCCCCACTCCTCAGGGGATTCCCCTTGATTACCCACAGTGAGGAAGGTCCCTCCTCCCCTGTGGGAATCCCTTTTCTGGGTAACTCATGACTCCCAGCGTCCTTCCTTATAGGGGTGGTCAGCCCATCCAGTTGCTGCTCGTGGCAGGAAGGCCCGAGCTTCCTGGTGCAGCCACCAGGGCCTATCACCCCTCTCTCAGCCTGCTGTGCACCACCCTGTGCACCCCTGCACTGCCTTGTGCAGCTATGCTGACCTGTCAGCTCTATAGTCCTGTGCACTGCTTTGTGCACTGATGGCCTAGCTCCTGCCTCATGCAGGGTTGGGGACCTGCACTGCCTCATGCAGCTGCTGGGCTCCCATCAGCTCCCCACCAGCCCCCATGCACTGGTCTTTGCACCAAAAAAGCTGCGCATTGTCGCTCCTGCGTGGTGCAGGGTTGGGGACCCATGCTGCCACATGCAGCTGCTGGGGTCCTGTCTGCTCCTGGACCCTCTGTGCACTGGTCTGCGCACAGACACCATGGCTCCCTCTACAGCGGGGCTGGGGATACAGCCGCTTGCTGTGTGGCACACTCTTCTGGGGCAACTGCTCTGCCTTGCTGATCCACTCTACCAGCTCTTCACAAGCCCCATCTTCATTGCCCCTCATGGACAACTCTCAATGTGCTGGGCATATGGGCTTTTATCCCTTCTGGAGGCTCTGGCCCCAGATTGAAAATGGACCAATAGGAAAGCCTGAGAGGCTAGTTTCCCCTCAGGTCCTTTCTTCACCCTGCCTCTGGGTCAGGGTGGGGCAAGCTTGCCTCCTGCCTCCTCCTGATTAGTGGAAATGCTCCACAAATCACCCTGGGCCATTTGAACTCAAGCTAACAATCCAGGCTGCTGGTAAGGCCACCGGCCAGCCTGCCACACTACGTTCATCCAGATCCATCTTAAATCAGGTTCCGTCTTTTCGAAACCAGTGTATATGCCCTGAGCTTATGTTCTGTAACAGTTTTAGACTGGTTTATGATAATTTATAATAGACCGAGCAGGGTTTTTTCCTCCCTTCTGTCTTCTGTTTTACTGGGAACACAAATGGGGTGCATTGTCTTTTTCAAGGGATTTGGTCCTGCATTTCCCCTTCCTGCTGTGCTACTCAGTGCTCCCGCACTGAGCTGGTGCATCTCTGGGACTAACAAGTTTCATCCCAAGCAGTCTGGGGATTTCCCAGCTGAGGGAGAACCTAGCATGAGGGGAAAAGGTATTGTCCCAACCCTGCTTATAAAAGTCATGACCTAGCCCCCAGCTCTGGCAGTGCCTGAAAAGGAATCTCTTTGATTTGCATTTCTTCTTCCTGGCCCTCGTCTCTCCAAAGTGTCTTTGGGAACAGGATAAGGCAGAGTCCCTGCAACCCTCCCCATCTTTACTGATCTGGAGAGGGCATCATCATAAGTTCAATTATAGAAGAGAATAAGGGATGGTTCACAACTCCTCCTTCCCTCAGTAAAGTCTCTCTGACCCATTTGTTTCTTGAGCTCTTTGTTATTTTCTGAGTTTAAATAAAATATTTGAAATAGCATGCATTTGCACAGTGGCATTGATGGTTGGTAGATACCAGATCTGATTTTTATTTTAAACATGATCGAGTAAATATATCATAGGAGTTTTTAGTTTTGATGAGGATAGAATTTCTGTCGCTGTAATTAAATTTGTTTTACACTTCTGTCTGGTGAATTGTGTACGGTAATGCTAAAATTTTAACTGCCATTAAATGATGTTGCATCAGGGGCTCAGAAATATTTCACTGATCTCTTTTAATATCACCAGTCTTTAATAGATTTTCCTTTTTACAGTGAAGGGTATTTTTAAAATTAAGCTTAAAATGTTGTCTTTGTGGCTGGGTTTTTAATTTTTTCCCCTCCTCTTTCTCACCCTCTTTTATAAGACCATTCTTTAAGCAGTTTCACACTGTCTTCATCTTTGCATTGTAAGACCCTAGTAATTAGATCAAGCTTTGCTGAGCTTGTGGAAATCTTGTAAGAGAAGTCATTTTAATAGAGTTTAATGTCTGAACTCTATTGCTCTTATTTGCAAGGTTACCAACTTGATAAAAGAAATGGGTTTTGACAACTTGATAGTTAGAGGTTCCTGAAAAAAATGTCTGTAAATTGATTCCTTAAGCTGTTAGAGCACAGTGACATTGTAAGTAGAAAGGTGAGGGACTTTAGTTCTGTTCAGCTTGTATGGTGAAACATGCAGCATCCATGTCAGCCATGGCTATTCAGAAATAACTGTCTTGATGGGTTGTGTGTGTGCACAAGGAGGAGTTCAAGCAGAAAACATTTGGATTTGGTTTCAAAAAGAATTTGACTCCTCTATCTAGTTCTAGTAATAGTTCAGACCAGGTAAAGCAAGTGGCGTGTTGCAAAATTTCACTTCAGTGTAGAATTCCATGTGATTAGCAAAAATATTGCATTTACTTGATTCCAAGACAAGGTTTCCCCCCCAAATGGCAGAGGGAAAAAACTTCTCTTCTCATAATCACATACAAGGAAATCTCACTAAATACATTGCCTGTCGTTAAATGGCTGCCAAAAGCAGCATGTTCTCAGCAATGGAACCCAACTATGAAGTTGATTGAAAGCAGCCAACACTGAGCATGAGTATTAAATAAATAGCTCACATTGGGCAAATATGCTGATAGGAACAATCTTTTTGTTTGTTTTGTTTTGGGTTTTATTGGCCTCCTACAAATGCCTCCAAATACAAGGTTCTTGGCTACATAATTTATGGTGATGGGGGACTGGTCTTGGACTTTCTCTCTAGTTTGCTCCTTAGGCCTTTTGTCTTTGGGCAACCAACACTGGAAGGCATCCGAACCCCAAGGCCTCTGGCCTTGGGGCTTGGACATAGGATGCCTGTTATGAGTTTGGGAGTATCTGAAGCCCCAGGCTAGTGAGTCTGATAAGTAGGATATTTGCCAGTTCTACCACCACACATAATTGAATGAATGAGCTCTGCTTAGCTGAAATTTGGAACTTAATTCAGAAATAATTTGGCCCTGGAAATGAAATCTGAAAAAAGGAGTTGGAAGGGGACAAATTCAAGGCAAATAAGCAATAATTAGATTCTACATTTGCAGAATTATAACAAATTTATAAATTTTCCATATGTAGAATTTAATTATTGGTGTCTAATTTGCATAGTGAAAGTAAAACAGAGTACATGAAGAACTGGTCCTAGACTGGGCACAAGTACCTACTCATCACCACACGCAGAGCAAAATAAAACAAATGGACATATATAGGGCTACTGGCAGATGTTTTAAATTGTGGGGATCTGATTTAGGTTCCCCACAATCGCACCTCCAGCTATACCACATGTGCCTGGCAGCACACATCATTGTCGGATTGGCCATCAGATCCCAGTATGCCATATTGCCAGTACAGGGGAAACTTTCTGTCCATGCACTGGCAATCTTCACTCCTGTGGCTGGGAGCCATGTCAGTGTTTGGAGCTCCTAGCTGCAAGGGGGCACAACACCCTGTGCTCACACAACTGGGAGCTCTGGCAGTTGATCGGGAGGTGGAAGCTCTGGCACTGTGCTCTCCCAGCTGGGTCCCTCGATCAGCTGACCAGTGCACTCAGCCTCTGGGGCACATTCCTGTGTGCTCCGGAGGCTGGGCGCACTGGCCATAGGTTCAGTTAAAGGCGTGATAAGAAGATATTACACATTTTGTGTAATAACTTTGTCACTTTTTTCCTGTTCTTATTACATCGTTAATTGAACGAAATGGGTGGCTAGGTCTCTACTGAAGACATGATTAACAAGTTCATTAAGTGTAACACGTGTCAGGAGCCTAGGATATCTTTTAAGAATGCCAGATAACAACCGTGTCTATGGTAAAAGACGTCACCATCACCAGGCATGGTGATGCTCATCATTTAGGCCAATTGTCAGGCACGCTATGAAGCATGATGATGCCTAAAGTGGTATTTTTACTTCTAAGTAGGCTGGCCATATTGAAATCCTGGAAATCCAGGACATCATCTGGGAAATCTGGGACACCTTCCCCCGCCTCTTCTCAAGTTGGTGTGGGCCGGGCTCCATGCCGGACAGGGTCCAGCTAGGCTCCTGGCCAGTCTGTGCCCCATGCCCCTGCATTTCCAGGTTTTCCATTATTATTCCCAACAGGCAGCCAGGATAAGCTTCAGAAATCCAGGACTGTCCTGGCTAAAATGGGATATATGGTCACCCTACTTCTAAGCCTTAAAACAAATTCCAGGAAGGGGTAGCTGGTACACCTTGCCTGGCTTTCTCTTCTATGCACTTGATGATGTAGGAAGCCCAAGGATGAAAGCACCTGTTTAAATTCAGCATAGAAACATGACTTAAGAACCTGGTATTTTTAATTAGCCATAGCTGTATCCAAGGATGGTGGAAGCTGATCACTTCACAGAGAAATATATGTAAGACTCAAATATCTTGGAGCCTTGTGTCTAGTCAAAACATATACTTAAATGTGACAAGGGAAGTGGTCAAATTAGTTGTTGTGAGTAGTTTATGACATATTTAGCCTTTTTCCTGCTAGTAATTTATCTATCAACAGACCGTGATTGAGTGTGGTCCAACAAGCAGTTTGTTTGAACACATTTTAGTTTCTAATCAGTTCATGAACTTGCCAGTGTGAATATTCAGTTTTGTTGTTTGTGCCATATGACTGTTCATACAAGTAAATGGCAGTGTTTCTCTTCTCTGATTGCATACAGAAGCACATCATTCATGAACAGTGTTATATTTCCTGACATATCTATTGTTTGAACTCTGAAGGGAGTTTTGAAGATCATCTCTGAGGGAGCACTTCTGGTGCAAACACTCTGAACTATATTGGTATGCACTAGTATGTGCAACGCTTTGGCTTTTGGTGAAAGTTCATACAATAGTTACCCATACCTTTACAACCTCCTGGCTAGACTATCTCATAGCAGCAGCTGTTGTGGAAGTCCAGCCATCCTGGGTAAAACTAGTGAGTGCATTGTATTTTATGGCAAGTACCCATTTAAAACAATACACATGCTGCTTCCTCAGTCTCAAGTAAATTAGCATATAATAATAACTTAAATAGGCCCTGACCATAGCTTCAGGCTCCAGGGGTGCCTATACACATGGCGGTTAGTGGTCTAATTAGAATGCTCCAGTGTGGCCTCATCATCATGTGTATAAGCTCCCACACATTTAAAAATTGCCACAGGAATGCTTTATCTAAATCTCATTGAATGAATAAAGTGTGTCTCAGCCATTTTTAAATGCATGAGGGCTTAATACACATGACAGCGAGGCGTTTTAATTAGAGTGGGTCTTTGGGAACTGCTCTAATTAAAATGCCACCTCCCCAGCCCCCCCAGCAGCCCAGGATTTTAGATGTTAAAGATATATTTGTGGTATTGACCTAATAGTTTTTATAGCAAGAATTACCTATTTTACATGATCTAGATCTCTTTATGTTAATATTTTATTGCTTTTTATTGACACAATGTCTGTGTGCTTATTTCTGGCTGTTGTTTTGATCATTTCCCTGGGCAGTTTTTTTCTCTTTTTGCTATTTGGAGTCATTTTGTTAAGATTAGATTTATTTCCCTCAACACTTTCTCCTGTAACTTTGTACCATGTGTCCCGCAAATATTCCTTTTCCAAATTAGGAAAATTTGTATATCTCTAGAGTCATTTGTAGGTGCATGAGGTCCCAGCTTCTGCTTCTTGGCTACATGTTTAAAAAAAAGAAAACCAAAAACAAATAGTATCTCTCTACAGAGTTATCCTATCTGGATTCACAGTACTCAATGCTTTTGTCAGTTTCTGACATTTTTCTTGGCAACAGCTTCTAATTCACTTTCATCTTTTTCCTCACACATAGACAGTAAAAAGTTTTATCTTCATTTTTCCTCATCTTTGTCCCCTGTGGTTTGCTTTGTCTATAGACTCAGTTCTTCTTCCCATTGCTTCCATGTAAGTCTAAGATTTTTTTGTCTGAAAATACAGTATTCCCAGGAGTCTGCATCTCTCCAAGCTGCTGGTTTGCTCTATTTCTAGCTATTGCTTTGTTTCCTTTGCTGTGGAACTTGACAACATATTTCATGTTTTAAATACAAGGCAATAATATATAAGGACTGTATATGATTATAAAACAAAATCCTTTCTTTATTAAGACAAATATTTATAGAGATGTTGCAAATGCAGGGGCCATCCCAGATACGCATCCCAAATTCTCCCAAGCTGGGGAGTCTGCTGATGCCTTTATTTGCATGTACAAGTGGAAGAGGTGATAGTGAGAGAATGTGTTTAATGGGGTCTGGTCTTCTGATTGTATCTATTTTTCTGTGGAGCGCTCCCTGTACCCTGCAGTTCTTCCACAGGACTGGGAGGGTGAAACATGGGAGAATGGCTTTGTTGGAGCTTCACTACTTTTTCAGATACAGACATTACACTCTTACTGGAGACTGGAAACTGGCCTATACCCATAACAGAACAGAAGTTCACCATGCATAGACTAGTTTAAAAATGGCAGAATCTGACCTAAATTTGCCCTCCCTTTTATCCCCACACCAAAGAGTGAATGTGTGTTTTGTTCACTACCCATCTAAACTATGCTGCTTACAGAAAACTACATAACTTAAATTGATTCTCCCTCAGGCTTTTTGAATGTCTATACCAAGACTTGGAGACACATCCCATGCATTGTGCAGATGTCCCTAACTTTTGGCTGATATCTGGGGGTTAAAGGAATAATATGTAGTGTGGACAACCACTTGCTTGGGCTCTACATGGAATATATTATTTGGATTGTAATACTGTTGCTAGTCCAGGAATTATACATTACACTGTGATAAATAAGTTTAAGTAACTGAATTAGCTGAGACCAATTCAAAACTATGACTGTCGGGAGCATATCCACCTGCCTTGATCTTTAGAGAAATTTCAGAGGGATTGCAGAACTTCATAGTTTCATAGTAGCTTGGGTCAGGAGGGACCTGAACAGATCATCTAGACTGACCCCCTGCCACCGGCACGAATGAATGCTGCGTTCACAAGACCCCAGACAGGTGATCATCCAACCTCCTCTTGAATTTGTCCAAGGTAGGGGCAATGACTACTTCCCTGGGAAGCTGGTTCCAGATTTTGGCCTGTGCTTCCTGTGAGTATCTTGCTTCTTCTGAGTCTCATCTCTTAATGCTTGATCTTGCAGATGCTTTATCTGACTCTCTTTTCAGTCCCATTCACTTCAGGATGTGTCTATGGAGTAAACTTCAATGACTGGCAAGAATGCCCTCAAATGCATAGTCTTGCATGCTACCTATTCCATAGGGTGGTGAGTAACTGCATCAGTGGGGTGCTTTGGGTGAGCTAATAGCACTCCTGAGTAATAACACTAATTAGCCTGCACCCAAGCTAATTAGCCTACTTACGACACTTCCTGGATAAGTCTATACTGCTTCTGGTTTAGGAACAGTCTGAGGAGTAAAGGCGGGGTGTCGGTGTTGAGAATGATAAATTGACTGTGCAGACATAGCTTTAGAATCCCAATGATTTAATAAATTAAGCAATGAATTTCTGTTCTCTCCATGAGTTTCTTCACAGAACACAGGGATAGCAATGATCATTTTCCTTTATAAATAACTTTCAGACCTATAGAGGTAGCTTTTTGGCAACTTAGTTGTTTTCCTATATAAGCCCCCTCTCTCTGTGGAGATCATTAATACCCCATGCTATTCGTAGTTTTGCTTGGTGACCTTATTATGAATCTGTAGATAAAATTACGTTTATAAGGGCACAGGCATGACAGTGAATTACCAATGTCCTAGGAGTAGTTCTAAGCCAACTGCCCAGACATTTGAAATGCACGTGTTATACATATGATAATGTGGAATCATTCAGTAGTCCGGTACCCTCCTTCCTCCTTTTCTTCCCCTTTACTTAGACAAAGTTAATGCAGTTAAGGAAGCTGTTCTAGCTTTGCCTCTGAATTTTTTGGCTCTGCTCCTTTTGAATAAACTTTCAGTGTTATTTTAATGCAGTTTCTTCCTTCATTAAAAAGAAAAAAAAAAGAGCTGATTTCTGTCCAGACAGAGACAGATGAATATTTAGAGATCCAATGCCAGCTGCTCTACATGGGCATGAGGACAACATGCTGTAAAATCTTAATGAAATTTTCATTGAAAACAATTAGTGCCTACAACCAGAAACTGAAATGCCAAAATGCAATAGTTTTAAAGATTTCTATTGTTCTGGGTTTGTTACCAATAATAACCAAAGTTGAAGGTCTGCATTTTGGTTCTGGTCTTTCAGACACTGACAGACAAGCTTCAGATTGACTTCAGTGGGACTGTTCATGCTACAGATAACCTGTGAAATGCTGATAATTGAAGACAGACAATTTTAGACTGTGGAAGCAAACATCTGAATAACACTAACTGCTTAAGCATAGTTTACCCTTTAGTAGAGATGGAGTTTTATAGCTAGAAATAGTAGCTAATGTGTCATGTCTGTGTGTATTTATATATATAGCTATCCATATATATAATAAAATCGTTCATGAGGGAAATATCATTTGCCACGTATCAGACAGGAGTGACATTTTATAGCTGAGTCTACAAATAAGGGTTTTTAATGGAAAAACTGACAGACCCTTAAGTATAGCTGAGCAAATGGTACTGTTATATACATAGAGAGAGAGAACTTCCCATGGGCCAAAATAGATAGGATGGCAGCATATACAATAATAAATGGTAAGTTACTGGAGCAAAATCCATTCTTTTTAAACCAAGGGTAAAAAAATTCCCAGCCTGTGGTCAAAAGACTCCGACTTTCAAAATTTCTGGTGGGAATTGATTGTACCAGAAGTGTGTTTCCTCTTGTCAGTACAATATGCTTCCCTTGTCACAGAAAGTATTACTTGGTTAGCCCGGAAGCTATGAAAGCCTCAAAAGAGAAATGATAAGCTCCTTTATTGGCCAACTTTTATATTAGAAGGAAAGTAGTTTAAAAGACATAACCTATATGTGCATGCAGGCTGAAATATGTTGCATTACTCAATTTTGGACTGAGTGCTGTGAATTTCATCACCTCTTTCAGAAACCAGTTGAGATTTCTCAGCATCATTCAGCATCAGGAGTTGAGATTTCTCTGCATCATTCAGCATCAGGTCCAAAGCAGGCATGTCATATGCTTGGAGGATAAAAATCATGTCTGGTGTTTGAGCTGTGGGGAGCAGATGATTCTGGATCAGCTTCCCAGAAAGAAGAAAGATAGGATTGAGATTGCCACAAATAATGCCTGAAGGTATTTTACTGAAAGGGGCCTACACAGGGCACAATGCCCTCTTTAGCTTTCAGGTATGGGAGTATTATTATACACATTTTACAGGATCAGAAGACAAGGCAGAGAGAAATGAAGGCTCTGATCCTACAAATGGGTATGTACCTGAGTAACTTTATTTATGTGAGTATCCTCTTTGAGTTCTGTATTACTCACATGTGTAAAGCTGTTCATATCTGTAAACACCTGCAGGATTAGGCCTACCTGACTGGCCTAAACCCCCATCCTCACAGCAAATCAAAGGCAGAGCCAGGAATAGAGTCTCAGGTTACAGCTTCCCAACCCTAGCTCCAACCACCAGATGGCAGATTTAAATGAAGGTAGGCTGGTATCCCACTTACACAGGGAATTGTATTATCAATCACTGCATAATTTTCTTGAACCACATGGAAAGGGAAAGTGGATTTTGAATCATAATTCTTTGCAAATGTTCAACAAACTCGATACCCTCCTCCCCATGCCAGGCAGGTAATTTGATTCTTGCTTATTAGGAGCTAGATTGATTTCCCTCTATTTGACATTTCACATTCACTTATCAAAACTGGAAACTGTCAATCTTGAGGCTAGTCCTTTAGAAATTAAGCTGCAGTTTTTGCTTTTTTTCTCTTCTTTTTTTTTTTTTTTAAAGTGGGGCTACCCTACTTAAGTATCCAGTTTCCTACAAGTGAAATTCACATCTGGACTACGAACTTCACTGACAAGTTTTAGTCTTCTGGCAAAATGTATGTTAGCTAGAATTTGCCCGCAGAATAAAAAAAGCAAAGGGGACAATGCTGTGATACTCTTTCAGAACTTGTGTATCTTTACGGTTTCCTTTATTCATCTGGCAACAAATTAAGTTACCTTGTCAAAGAATTGCTGCAGAATTAAATCTGCGTGTAAGTCAAATGACACACTTCAGATCTGTTTACAATTACTCCTGCTCCTTTCTTGTGCATCTTTATTGGCTGCTCTGCATGTGCATGTAAGCCCATTGAGACTACTGATCATTGCAACACGGAGACAATGACTGAGGTCTTTTTTTTAAAAGACTCTTTTTCTGTTCCTTTCATTCTGCTGAGATACCAAAAAAAGAAAAAGAAAAAGAAAAAAAGGGAACCAAAGAAAGAGGTATGATAATGATTTTATTCTCTCACAAATAATGTGTGCATTTTTAACAGAGAGGGTAATTAAGCACTGGCATATAACTAGGGAATCTGATGGATTCTCTATCATTGGCAGGCTTTAAGTCAGGAATGTGTATATTATAACTCATCCAGAAGTTGTGGGCTTGATACAGAAATGGCTGGGGGAGATTCCAAGGCCTGTGCTGTGCTAAAGATCAGAAATAATGATTGCTTCTGGCCAAGAATCTAGGCTTTGCAATTTAAAGTGACATATGAACATTAGCTAATTACTCCTTACAACAGCTCTGCGAAGTATATATTATTATTCCCATCTCCCAGGTGAAGAAATAAAGGAGGAAGGGGCTACCATCACCACAAAAACATACGATAACAGAGACAGGCATAGAACTCAGAAGCGCTCATATCATGGATTCCCTAAAAAGACTGTTTTGTGGGGAAAGCACAAGGCTGAGAGTCAGGAGGTGATTTCAGTTTCTGACTTCACTATTCATTGTCACTATCTGTGACCATCATAGATATAGAAATAATGCCAGTAAAATTGAAAAGTGAAGTCTACTAACCCAACCCATCCTCACCTACTGAGCAAAGACCTGGCCAGCCAGAAGAGAAGGAGCCAGTATATGATCTTCTTCACAGAAATGGTGAAGTTGATGCACACAAATCGCTGGGCGCCTCATGGTAGGAAATGAAATGAGGAGGTGAAGGGGCTTATGCAGGTTGCTCCAGGTAATAAGGGAGGCTAGGCAATGTGAGTATGGACCAGTCCTACAAAGACACGAGGGCTCTACTTAGTGTGATTATTATTGCCCTTGCAATAATTGTGGAAGACAATTAGGTGGCAGACTAAATATGTGGTACTGCACAGGTATCAGTGGACTTCAAAGAGGCCAACTGGCAGGAAGCCCTGTCATAAAACAGTGAGTTGTGGCAGAAGATCATAGATATAACCAACTTTGAGCAGGCAAGAAGGAAGAAGAAGATCACTGTTGCCCCTTTTGGGTACCTGCCACTGGCCACCAAATGTGTTACAGATAAGCAGCGCAGAATGTGAGGGAATCTCATATTGTTCAATATGGAGGACACGCAACTCCTGCAATATGTGCAAGTTACACAGGCCAGCAGATATAGAGACTTTAGTCTTCCTGGTTTATCAGCTGGTTAGAGCATGATGCTAGGTCACAGGTTTGATCTCTGGTTGGACTGATGATCTCTTAAGGTCCCTTCTAGCTTTACTTCTCTGTGACAGTCTGCCACAAGCGTGGGCATTGTATATGCAAATTAAGAGGCAGAATATTTCCTCAGTTCTTATATTTTACCTCCAGGTGGAGCAAAAGCCTCAGGACGGAAGTGTAAAACCAATGCAATCTGATGTCAGTATGTATGTATGGAGTGCTCCTGAAAGGTGCCATGTGGAAAAGATTCCCTACACTGATAGATATGTTAATCAGCCTTAGCCTTGGCCACTTTGTTTGATAAATATTAAAATCCAGCCCATCTTGGGCATCTGTACCAAAATTTCCATTATATATGTGTGTGCATGTAGATTCTGGAGATGGTTTTATAATGCATTTTTTCAATGATTTATTGAACAGTTTGTGATCTTTCAATACAGCTCAAAAAAGCATATATCAGATCAGGTACTTCCATTAACATGTTTATTTTAGAGCAGTTACTAGAAGACAAAATCCTAAGAAATACAGGACACTCTCTTCAAGCATTTAATTCCTGTGACTAGAACTGCTTATTAGATCTCTAGTAAAAATATATACATTTTTCTTCAGCTGATTTTCTCTAACTTTCTCCTGCCTCATGGTTAGCATCAAAAGCCAAGGACTGCATGCACATCTCTTTTCTACAAGAAGAACGGTTCTTTAATATGCAAATATTGGAGGCAAAGTTGGATGACTTGACTTAGCACGTCCTTGAAAGAACCAAAAGCTTTTATGAAAAATTCAAGGTTACACAGTTATGTTCCCAAATATGACTGATAAAAAAAAGGCTACTTACTTAACCCATTAGCAGAAATAAATGGGAGGATTGTTTTCTTACATGAAATACCTTCCCCTTTATTAACAGTGAAAAACAGCTGCATTGTTGGGGCGATATACCTAGGTCTGAGTCCAAATTACAGTAAATGACACAGCTTCAGGTACAGCCTTCTCTTAAAACTCAATGGAGGCGTCAATCAGAAAAAGGAAGAAATGAGTAAAAAGGAAGAGAATGACCCAGAAAAAGAAAAACAACCCATATAAATAATCCTCCTTTTATTTTCTGGAACAATCTTGATTCTGATTTGACTTCATAGTCTCAAAAGACATCTCTTGTGCAACATCGATGCTATCAAGCATCCACTAACATAGGCTTTGATGGGCCAAAAGGGGAAGTGAATTTTAGAGCAAAGTCTTCCTCTCTTAGAACAGCTGTAGCTTGGCCTCATGGAATTTGGATCTGGGCAGTTCTGGTTTATTCATTTATTTGATGTATATGCCACACTTCCCAATAAAGGCTCAGGAAGGCTGACTAGAAGAAAACAGAATAAATTAAAAACAGAAAAGTTTGAAGAGGACCAAAATAGCTTACTAGACCACCAAGATAAAACAGAATCCCCATAAGCCACATCTCAACCTAGTTTTATTTGGTGAATGCCTGCCCAGGTAGGAAGGTGTCACAGTGCTCATGAAAGATGTCCAGGCAAACGTCATGAGGGAGAGAGTTCAGTGACTCATTTGTCCTTGTGCTGGCCCATGGGGGGTTAGATAGTAGAATCGTGGGTAGCCACAATTCAAGTCATGTTGAACTTATTAATAAGTTTTACACAATACCTTGATATATTCTTGAAACAACAAGAAGTCAGCATATGCAATTATGCAATACTTGATTATTGTTGTAATTCATAAATGTCTCCAATGAATTAGCAGACATTGCAGTCAAAACTTTAGTCCCTAGTGTAAATAATACAGTCCATATTTTACTAATCTTTCCAATCAACTTTAGGGGAATGAAATGAAATGATCAAATAAATAAATTACAAAGCATATTAATGAAATGTATTCATCACCCCTCCTACAGAGAACAACATATAAATCAGCACATACATGAAAATGAGTAGATGCACAGTATTTCAGATAACATTGCAACCCAAACTGCAAAACCATCTGTTGGTTAAATGAGAGCCCAAGGCTGGTAGACCATTAAAAAGCATCCTCCTCAGTATTTGTTTAAAGGAGTGACACCAAGAAAAAGGAGTAATCATATAGTGAACAAATTCAATAAAAAAAAAAAATCACCATTGAGTTTTCCTTCCTCTCAGAGACCCTCATTAGCAAAAATGGAATATTTAAACTGTTCTACATAAAAACGGCCCCTGTTGTCAGGCCTTACCCTGACTGGCCTGTCTTCCTGCCCTCATCCTTCCCAGTGAAGGAGTTTCATACTATGTCTTTGACTTTATATGATTCTGAACCCCTTCAAACCTCAACTTGACTTAAGAGAGCTGTTGTAAGTTTTGACACCCAATAATAGAAACACAAAACAAGGTGGAGAAGTTCTGCCGCAGCTGTGAATGAAATAACATCTTATAATTCATATAGTAATTCACAGATGGTCAAAAACCTAGGGCAGAAATGGTAAAATAATAATGGCTAAATTCTCTCCTTCTGGAAAATGCTCAGTGCTTCACCTAGTATTTGGTTATTGGGCTATATTTCCACCATATTGCTCTGTTTAGGGCCAGGCCTCCTTCATTGTCTTTGCGTTAACTGTACCTCTGAGTCCTTCATGATCTCCTCAGTGATATCACACTTGCTCAGGTCTTTCACTATCACCTTTCATGTAGTGAGAAACCATATTCTGTTCATGGCAGACTGTAAATTTTAGGCAGAAGACTCCTATAATTATTGTGATTGACTGCTACAGCCAGTCTGACTTCATTTCAGCCCGCAGTCCTGTTATTTTCAGACGTGCTGACTGTAGCGCACGGAGGTTGCCAATGAGGACTGACAAAAAGTGAGATCTCTTGAAGTCTATGTAATCCAGCTACTTGGATCTATTGCTGAAGAGATGTGTACTCCATAAGTATTACAGACTTTAAATATAGAGCTGAGTTTACTCAGGCTGTATTGGAGCTTGAGGTTGATACCTTTGGCCTTGTCCTACACAAATGGAATGCAATAGTCACACAATTTTGTCACCTTCCCCTGAATCTTTAAAGTAATTTAGTATAGTGTAGGTAGTATAGAAATAATACCATTGAAGAGGGTAATACAGTTCTTGAGGCCTTTTTTTAGCCTAATGATTTTCTAACTTTTCTATCATTCTGCCTGATTATTTTTTTAAAACCTAAATTGAATAGAAAACTTGTAAAAAATCAGTCAGCCAGTCTCTTTGTATACTCAGAATAGGACCATATCCAGCTCGGTGTTACTTGGAGCACCATTGTGGGTACGTCATTAAGAGACTATAATCAGGACAAACCACTTGGCCCTCTGCTGCTTAAGAAAGTTCACCCGCCCCCCTTCCCCATATAAAACAGACTCCTGGTTTTTTGCTTACAGATCCCAGAGTTAAACAGATTGGGTACTAGGCAATAGTTACTTACTGTCTTCTTTCTTGGCCACTTAGTAAAGCATAAATTCCCATTGTGTTTACTATAAAGTTCTTGGTGAAGTCAGCATTCAAACTTTTGTCTACTGGCATGTCTAGCTTGAGGAGATCACACTTACAGTTGACATAGCCTTGCCAGCAAAATGCATGGTGTGAACCCATCTCTGTTAGTTGACAGCAGTTTTTCCCATTAGAGTTTCTGTCATCTTGGGGAGCTGGTACAATGCTGATAGCAGAAATCTCCTCCTCCGAACAGAACTGTCCTCACCAGGGAGCCTGACTACTGTAGCATTGTCACCCTGGTTAAATGAGCAGAAGCCCCTTGTAGGGTAGCCAGGGCAGAAGAAAATGATACACCTGTGGGTCAGTAGCAGCTTCTCTTCATTTTAATTAGAGGCCTGATCCACAGCTCATTGAAGTCTTCCCATTGGCTCAATGTATTTTGAATCAGGTCTTAGGTGAAAGCTGTGCATTTGGCAAGTGGCTGGTTCATGTTTTCTTCTAGGAGAGGCCTGCCCAGAGTCTTTGGTTAAAAGGTGAAGGAAAACCATATTGTCAATATATTAAAACATCAAGTGTAATGAATCGAATTATTCAATTCATTATTGAAACCAAATTTGGAATCAGGTGATATTTTGCTAGACTATTATGCATGCAGTTATAGAAAAGAATGACTCACAGCTTTCACTTGTGCATCTAACACCAGAGGTTTGAGTAACAGCATGGTGTTGAGGCCATTCTGACGATGGGGATTAAACACTAAGGGCCAGGACTGGTCACTTGTTTCCATCAGGGACCTTATGTGGTGACCTGAGACAGAGGCTATTCCATTGCTCAGCTTGCTGCCTAGGTAGGCTGCAGCTGAAAGTCTTCTATTGTAAGTCCTCTTTCCCTTTCACTTAGTCACCTGCTGAGACTTCAGCCTGATGGTTTGTTCCAGCATAGTCCTCCCGTTCAATATTTAGTAAAGTGGTCTGCTAGCAATATTTGATGCCTGAACTACACAAAATAATCCCAGTGGGTAGTTTCCATCCCTGGTAATTACAAGATGCCCCACTCTTTTCATGGACTAACTAAAGTTAGTAGGGGTCTTGCTTTTCCTTCTCTGTGCTCCTCTCTTTGTAGTAAATCAGTAATTAGGGAATTTTTCCTCCCAGTAACCCAGTAAGAGGGATAAAATAATAATGGTAGAGGGGTTGAGCAGGAGCAGCACCTGGCTGCAAGTGTAGTTGTCTTCAAAAGGTGATAGAATGTGTATTCTGTAGTTTCTCACAGTGCCACCTTGTATTTATCAAAGACTTTGTCTTTTCTGTTATTTAGCTTAAGAGAGTGGTATCTTCTAAAGATTATTATAAGTTGATCTAAGAAGCTTATTAGTCATTGGCCAGAATATGTTATAAATATTTGAATACTCTATGGCTTAGAGCTCTTATATCAAGGTTTTCTCACGTTAGTTCGTTTTGTTCTATACAAAAGGTTTAGCTCAGAAGCAATATAGGGTTGTGTTGGGACCAAACCCCCAAGCCTCAAAACACTCCATTTTTTCCTGTCAGTTGTTTTACCTGTAGAAGTGAAAGTGCATAGCTATGTAATGAATAACAAAGTAGGTCATGTGCAGGAAATATTTAACACGGTGTTCCTGACAAAGAAGCAGCTCACTAGTGAGTCATAACTTTTGCTTTCAAGTTTAAGGACATTGCATCATGAACAGCAGTACTCCACATTACAGTAGACTTTAATAATAAAAAGGTTAATATAAGTTAATCTCTGTACATGCTAGCAACACGTACAGCAAAACACAGTTTTTGGCAATCTATAATTTTATAGTTCTTTTATGCAATTTTATGCTACCATTAATTTTTCTTGCTGAAATATGTTTTTAAAATAAAAATGTACATTCAGTGTTAATATAGTAATTTAGATTGTTTTTTAAAGTATTGAATACACATTTGATTTAATTCCTTTTTTGAAAAAAATAATATTGGTCAAGTTGGTACAAATTTATTAGTCTTGAGACAGGTTAACCATTCCTTCCAGCCCATAAAGAACAGTTTAACAAAACAATGATATTTAGATAGCTCTACACCACTGATCAAGATTCTAATATGAAGCTTGTTTTAAAAAAAAGTCCAACATTTGACAGTACAACAAATGCATTTTATTCATTTTTGGAACATTGCCTCTTTTGCTTTTTTTGTGGTCTATTACATGTCTGAAGGGAACAGCAATGGGGTATAATATTTTTAACCCCCTCCCCCCATATTAAAAAAATGCATCCTCCATACTGGATTTGTAATGGGAGCTGGCACTAGATTGCCAGGGCTGGAAAGAAACACTTTCCCAAGACCCAATATAGCAAGAACAAATGTCACTAGTTTGAGCACTTGCCACTGCCAAAGTATGGAAACAAAATACAACAAACCATGGACAAAAAGAGTCTTGTGACACTGTGTGGCTTTAATTCAGTATCTATTACTTATTTGAGAATTGCTTCATTAAGAAAACTGAGAGGGGGCAACATGGGCATTTTCACAGCCTGAAGAATTGAAATAAACCCATTTTGCAACAATTTTATGCCTTTTGTGCTGTAGCTAGGGTGCCTTAGGCCTATTTAGGAACTTGCTTCAGGCGATAGAAGTCTGGTGATTATAGTTAATCAGGATGCACTTCAAGTTCTGGGTTATGGTATGTTCTTTTCAAATAAAAAACAGTTCTTTAATACTGAAAATGTGCTTTGTTCAAAAGAGCACTGCAAATGTTACTTATTCAAATCAATTTAATAAAGAAAATATAAACAGCCTGTGTCCAAAACTATGAATAATATTTGCATCTAACTCAATATACATCTGGCCCACAGTGCCCCTCCCTTTTATATTTAATTTTTTTCTGCATGCAATTTTCCCTGTTTACAAAGAGGAGACACTGTACACTGCCAAAGAGTTTCGGCTACTGCACTAGGTTACTGATAAACCAAGTCTACATCACAATACTTCCACCAATAACCTGTACGATTTCTAGCCTGTGGTACAGGTAATGATTTGAGAAAGATTTTTCCACCTCTGGGATATAATTCAAACAACGCTGAGACTCTTACAGTGAATAATCACAGAAATATTTGTATCCTAAAACAAATTAAGTAATTAACAAATATTCCACTTGTGGTGGTTCTAATTGTGTGAAGACCATACATTATAACATTGTTAGCTGGATGATGTGAATATTTTATAATGTAGAATCAAATTTTTATTCTAAACTCTGGAGGGACATGGATATCCTTCCTTTTGCTCCACATTTTTAAATGCGTTCACTATCTTTTATTAACAGTATTTTTATCCACGCTCTAAATTGTAAAGAAATGATCACTCGTTTTCTATCAGAGGAATGGTTTTGTTTTGCTGTGATAAAAATGTCCTAATGTCTCAGTGCTGGGCCCTCAGCCAGATGTAAGAATTAACCATGTGGGTCTTTATGACTTGACATTCTCCCTTCCTTCAGGAAGATGGAGAGAAAGCACCACATCTGCCTTGAGCTCTTGCTCTTCTAGGTGGCTGTAGAGAGGAAGGGACCCTTAAAGGGAATGACCCCAGGAATGAAGAAATGGATGAAAGTTTGGAAACCTTCTACTTGGAACTGGCCTAATGTTTGGAATCACTGTCAATGGTGAATACTGTGGTTGAGGGGAAATTACATGTTGGAGTTTCCACTGTAAAAAATATCAAATAAAAAATAAAATAAAGCTTGAACAAGGAGAACAGCAGATGAAAATAACTTGTACACCACACACATACACACATACACTCACAGAATATTATGCACACACAGACGTACGTGCACACAAGCAAGAATGTGTATTTTGTATGTTCAGTTCTTGGAAATAGACATTCTTAGCAAATATGGATGACAGATCAATTGTAATTTATTTTCTTTTAACACTGTATCATCATAAAGAAAACTGGTATAAATGAAAAAATCTATTTCAAATATCTACATCTAAAATTTTAGGCAGTGAAAAAGCACTTTGTTGACAAGGAGTGTGGAATGATGAATGTTAACTGTCAGAAACTGCTGAATGCCTTTTTTTAGTTGCCACAAACAAATTCACATATCAGAACGAACAATACTGCTAAATATTCCTTTTTGTTTTTTGTTAAAACGCACTGGGGAAAAGAAAACAAAAAAAACCCTGGAAATTCATACATCTTCCAAAATTTTGAAATTGAAGCAATATTTAGAACCATAGATGAAGAAACACTGTGGCATTGGTGTAATATACACAATGCACTCGTTTTTTTTATCTGTAATGTACATCAAATACTTTACAACAATGCATTAACAAAAGGCAAGAAACATCTTGCTGTACAGAGGAAACCCCAAATGCAACTTGAAGCCTAGATTCACAATGAACGAGGATATTAAACAAAGTGTGAGAAGCTGTTCCCCATAAAGTACATAAGCTGCTCAGTTTCTTGTGCTTAACTCTTGACCCACATCCACTGTCATATTCTCCCTCCTTCCTTCAGCCACATTCAGTACACAGCACTGTTATTTTAGACTCTATAAGACAACAGTAAAGTTGTCCCACACTGTAATATATATTTGTATATATATATTTCTTTCTAATGACTTCCATATTTAACTTGCATTTCTTTTAGCCTTCTAAAATCTCTTAAATTTTTCCATACTGGTTACCAGGGCCTTCCTATGGAACAGGCTTTAACAAACTAAATTTGCAGGAAAAAAATGTCTTGTGGTATGCATGCACATGCACAGTTCCTGGAGCTTCTGTTTCTTGCCCAAGCCTCAAACCCAGGAATCTGGAGAGGCTGGATAGTGGCTTGTTTCATAGTTAAGTTCACTGTAGGGACGAGCAGCTGAATAGAAGTCGACGTAGTTGCCGGTTGACTTTAGTCCCAGGTGCATGTTATATTCACTTGCAGGGGGGCGATGATGCACTTGGTCCTCAAAGAAGGACTCATCATAGTTTCTTGTCGAATTCTGAAACGGCTGATATGGTTCATAATCTTTTCTATTGGGCTCCTGTGGAACTGGCTGTGTTGAGACCTATACAGATAACAATACACCTGGTATGTTAGATCTGGCTAGCACTGGACAAGAGATTTATGGAAGCGGAGCAAGTATAAAAGGTTGTTTTAGCTCACCAGGCTAGAAATAAGAATATGTTCAGCACCAAAGTCATTGCACAAACCCTTTCTTAGTTCTTCTGAATGAAATCCACACTTCTACTTTTCCAAATAATTGTTTTATATTCCTGTGTGTTACTACTGCTAACAGAAGAGCTGGTTTTCTTAATGAGACAGTTAAACAGGAAGTGGAGGAAAGTGTCACAATTCAGGGTTTGAACCAGATGGTTTGGCAATATCTTGGAGGATCCAAGCAACGTGGCTTGTAGCCACTTGGACTCAGTAATGTTCCTAAAAAAAAAAGTCACTTGTACTCAGCAATGTTTTAGAGATTCATTCTGTCTCTAAAATAGGACAGCACTTGGGATTCACACTCCTGATAAAGTTTCCAAAATAAGGAAGCCAGTGTCTATGATGGTGCTCTTTTGGATGTGTGCACTTGACCCTTGGAACTGGATGGACACTAGGGCTGTGTGAAACAGCAGCATTCCGCTTTGACATCCGTTTCAGCAGAACAGTGTTTTGTTTCAAGTTTTGTTTTGTTTTGAAAACACTGTTCCGTTCTGTTTTGTCAAAACGGTTTTGCTGTTTCGACGCTGTTTCAACGTTTCATTCGGGTTGGGGAAGGGAACTCAGCGCATCACAGTGCTGGGGAGGGGAACTCAGCCGGGCTGCTTCGAAACTCGAAATGTTTCGAAACTTTTGAAACATTTCAACTGCCCTAATTTCGTTTTGAGGCTGCTTTGAAGCCCTTTGTTTCATTTCAGTTTCACTGTTTCAAGCTCAAAATGAGTTGAAACAGTGTTAAGATGAAACAGCCGGCGAAATTTCACACAGCCCTAGTGGACACTGCCAGGTTCACAATAGCAAATAAACTTTTTTGGCAGGAGTGTCACAAATTAGAACCACACCCTCCCCGAGTGCCACTCTGATCCCTTTCTTCTACCTGCTCTGCATTCTGCTCCCTGCCCTGTGCTTGCCTGATCTGCTGCTCTGCTTTCTGCTTCCTATCCTATCTGCTGCCAAGACCCTATCCCTTCCCCACTCTGCATTGTCCCAAAAACAGAGGCTGCTGGTGCCACTGGTGGCAAACGTGGCATAAGCTGGCCACCTCTGACTTAGGTTCCTTCTACTAACTGAGCTGCTGGAGCTGAGTGATCAGCTGTGAGCCTGAGACGTTTGCGTTTTGTAGGTTACATCACATGTCTGTAATCAGTATATGTTTGCATCCTATGCTTGTTACAGCTTGTTATACATTTTGGATTCATGGATCCAAAAATTCTCTGCTAATGCAGAAGACCACAACCTTTATGAAATCAAAGAAATTGCTACCACTTGTACAAGAATGTATCCCTTGCTTTTCTATACCTCTCTGTTACATGAACACATTGTGTTTGCTTTAACTGGCAAAATAACAAGTGCTTTGTAATATTCCGCATGGAAACTGGTGTTTTACTGCACTCACATACCTGGTTGTGTTTGATATCTTCAGCAGGTGCACCATAGGAATTCCTGTACAAAGTTGAGATTCCAGTGTTTTGAGCTACAGAGAAAAGCAAAAGGGGAGAAGTTTTACCAGACACATATCTCTCCAGAACTGTTCCATCAACTGTTTGTTTTTTAACAGCCTTTTCACAGCATATACTGCACAGGGTCTGCTTTCTAAAGACAAACAGTAAAACATGTATCCTGAGTCCTAGTGTAGATTATTTTAAATCCCGGTTGAGGGAAACCACAAAGAAAGAAAGAACAACAAGTCTCTTTGAAAGTGAGACCATAGGGTGGGGAGAATTTAGTCTGTTCCATCTTTTGTAATGACTATTTTAAATAGAAATGCAGATCAATACACGGCCCATAAAGAGCATGTGATGTAGAGAATACTAAAGATATCCTACAAGAGATGTGCATTTAGATAAGCAAAGCTTATAACACAGGCCAAGCAAGTTCATCAGAAGGAGGAATGGCTTTAGGAAGTGGAATTTGGCTGCCTAGCAACTCAGAGATTGCTAAAGCAGCTGTTCAAAATAAGCACAAAATGACGATAATATTAAGAAGTAACTGAAAAATCCCTTAGCATTATCTGTTTTATGCAGTTAGAGTAGGAGGATGCCTATAACAATAGATGCCCCAAGTGATCAGGGCACCAATTGTTTCCCACATTCTGCTGCCATGACCTGTTCAAAGTAAAAAGTTAAACTTCATGCTGGAATGTTTGTGTGTGCACGCATGTCTGTGTACTTTTCTTAGAAACAATATATACCAGCATCTTTTCAAGACAGGCTGAGAGTACGGCAGATTTGTTATAATTTTTCATGTATAAAATTATATTATTGGAGGGTCATCTTTAATTCACCCCCCACTGCTGCAGGGGGGACAAACGGGAGGGGGCAGTTGGAAAGGTCAAGCAGCTTGCTCCCTGCTTGTGCCTGCCCCCGTCTGCCCCATCTTACAGCCTCAGCCCCACCTTCTTCCCAGCTCTGTTTCTCCTCCTGCTCCTCCACCTCAGCCTCTGTGTTCTCCCTTCCTACTTTTCCCCACCCTCTCTGGTTCCCCTTTGCACCCCAAGTCTACTTCCTGCTCCTGCCCCTTCCACATTGGCAGGCTCCATTCCTGTTCTAGCCTGGGGCACTGAGCATAGCCCTAAGCCTGTGTGGGCTGTACACCACTGCTATGGGGCTAGGCTGGGGCTATGCTCAGTGTCCCAGGCTAAAATGGGGAGAAAGCCTGCCAGTGCAGAGCAAGGATAAGGGGGGAAGGGAGAGGGTCAGGCAGGGAAACAGAGGCTGCATGGGACAGGGTGGAGGGAAGAGGCTGCAGGGGGAATACAGCAGGGTGCAGAGGCGGGGGGGGTGGGGGTGGTCAGGGAAGCAGGGCAGGCAGCAGCTGTGGAGATAGCCCTAACCCTTATTAGGGATGAGAGCCTAAGTCTGTAACCCACAAGTGCCCTGTACACAATTCTAAGATGAGGGGCTTTATCCCCATGTAAAATAGGGAAAAAATACCTCACCTTAAAATTGAGTAAATAAGGTATAACTCTTGTTAGTGTTTGTACATAAATATTATGCTGAACCTATGGATTTCACACCTAAGTCAATAAGGAAACTTGGTAGGCAAATAGCAACAAGCAATAGATTTTAGTTTACACACATTGTTTTATACCTTTCTACATGGCAACTCTAATATTGGTATATTAAAACCCCCTGGCACTTTTGTTCCCTGGATCAGGTTGGATGTTGTTATACCCATTAATAAATAAGCTGCAATGATGCTTTTCTTATGAGGAAAAACTGTTTGCAAGGGAAGAGAGATGGTTTAAATATGATCCACATGTTGGTTCCCAGGAAGCTGGTATTTGTGCATAATGAAGTGATCTAGATGATTCAGCCACTGTGTGAAGGAGGATCACCGTCTTGCTGTTAATTTAAGATCATTGAGAGAACTGAGTTATAAGCCTGAAAGTGTTGAGATGAAGCCACACTTCTGCAGACAAGAAAAACACTGTCCTTCAGAGCTGTTCATATTTTCAGTAAAAATGTCTATCTCCTGTTTCCTTGCAAGCACATATTTAGCCAGGAGATGTTTCCTTTGGGTCAGTGATGACCTGACCCTGTATCTGAGGTATATTCTACTAATGGATTTGAAAAAGACTTATGTAAATGTCACATTTTCCAGAAGAAGAAGTGTAGGATTTGTGTGATTGCTGCAGGTCACTCACAGTGAACACAAGTAAAGAATGATTTCTTACCCCTGGTTCTTTCAGATGATGCAGTCAGTCTGATTCCCACTAGAGGTGCACATGCAGGTCCTGTGTATAAGATGGAAAATTTTCACTAATGGTGTCTGGCACAGAGGCATGTGTACCCTGAAAGGGCAAAAGACTGGAGAGGCCCCAATTTTTACCACAGTTCCTTTGCAATTCAAAGTCCATTTTTCTGTGGACTCCAAGCAGTGGGGATGGAGGGAGGGTCATGGGATCCATGCTGGCTACATTACAAAGAGCTTCTGCTACTGAAGGATAAGCAGCTGTTCTTTCTCCTTAGACCATACACCTGTGTGAATCCCACTGTGAATGACTGGCAAATAGTCTCTTATGGATGATTCAAATGGGAAGTACATTAGTGCAAGACCCGTCTCAGTCAAATATGGATTGGAGTACTGCTCCTTCAAACTTGACATCAAACCTAGCTTCCATGCTAATGGTGAGAGGGTCAACAGAAGTCAAAGAGTTGCTTCGTGTTGCTGCTTTCCAGGATTCAGATAATGGCATGTTCTTGAGGCAAACTGAAGATACTACTTATGACCTAGCTGAATGAGCACTGACATTCAGAGGGAAAGGTATCATGAGATGACTGATAGCCATTAGCTAACAGTATTGAGAAGCTGGAAGCAATCACGAAGAGATTGGGTGGGTGGTGGTGAGATGTAAAGAGCTCTTATTATCAGTCTTTGCCTGGGTAACAGAAGATGTCTTGTTCCCATTGACACTCCCAGTTTTTCCAGAAACTTGCCCTTGGCCATAGGTGTGAATAGAGAGGAGTGTGTGTCACCAAAGTTGGTGATGGCAAAGCTTTCCTCCATGCCCTAGGCTGCTCATCATCTCCAGTCCTTGTGGCTTGCTAGTTTTACCCTTGAGGCTTTAGGTAGTTTGTTCATATGTTTGGAACACTGAACTCATTGCATCTGGATGTCTTGGCTCTGTATGGATCTGTATGTCTTAGTGGCACAATTAATTTGTAGAGGTTTTACTACAGCCTTTGGTACTGTGGGAATCTGCCATACTGGTGTAGCTAGTATCTGTGTTTGATTCCAGGTCTTTCCTTGGTACCATCTTTTTCCATGTTGATCTTCTCAGTTACCTGCCTGCCAGATGTTTTGTGACGTTGGCTTATCCATTAGCCAGACCCAGGACCTCCACGGTTTAGGATCTGAAGAAACCTAATGGTTTTCTCTCACACCTCATGCATACTGGTTCAGATTCTTTTTTGTTTAATACCCACATGTCCACAATGGCTGTACACGTGATACATTTTCTTGCATAAGGATTCAAAGGCAAGGCCCCTCCCTCAAATCCTTTTTACAGCCTCAGGCAGCAAAATACAACCTGAAAAGTACCTGTTCTGTAAGCTTTTTGCTTTAGCTAAATTTCCTCAAATTCTTCACAAAACCTTTGGGAGTCTCCATTCTCTGATCCCGGACTACCATGGGTACAACTGTCTTGTCCAGAATGAAAATTTACAGCTGGACCCCCATGAACAGGCTGTCCTGACATGCTGGATTCCAAATCTAAAGGTTTCAATTCCTACTCGTCCCTTTATTGACTAGTCACATTGAAAGATACACACAGCAGGCGCCTCTTCTGCTTCCAAGAGTTTGATACAGTGAACAGATGTTCAGTGTCCTTTTCATTTTCCTCAAGAATGTGTAATTTGCAAAACATGTAGTTGAAGCATTATCTGCTGAAGCAATCAACACAGGATACATACTCATGGACTGATTCAAAACCAATTCAAAACCCATAGGCCTGAATCTGCCTATACTGCAATGGGCTAATTCTACTGGAAGAAATACCCAGAAGGTGCCTTTTTTGCATAATAGGATAGCTGGATACCTTAAGTTTATTCCCCGAGAGGGAACTGGTATCAATATTAATGTGTCAGTCACAAATTCATTATTTTAATCTGTAAATAGATCACTTACAAATTGTGGAGCCAGTCATTTAACATAATTAGACCAAAAAGGCATGTTAATAGCTTGGAAATGCCAACAATTCATGAAACAGAAACATGGACTAGTTCATTTGAGACACAGAGAGAGCTTAATCCCTTGAGGAAATTTAAAAGTCAGGTTGCATAGCTGCTAGCAATACACACAGCCCCGCTCCAGTGCCTGCTTCTGACATGTAGCCCTTTTAGGGAACTATGGCATCAAGAAATAGCTGTAAAGGCTGCCATGCTTGGATGAACAGTTGACTATGACTGTCGAACAGCTATCCAAACTGAGGGCAAGTGCAAATAGAGGGGGAGAGAAAATGAAAAAAGGAGATGAATAGATCAGTGTTTTCATAGTTTCATAGTTTCTAGGGTCGGAAGGGACCTGAGCAGATCATCTAGTCCGACCCCCTGCCATGGCAGGAAGAGCACTGGGGTCAAATGACCCCAGCAAGGTGGTCATCCAACCTCCTCTTAAAAACCCCCAGGGTGGGAGCCTGCACCACCTTACTTGGAAGCTGGTTCAAAGACTCTAGCCGCTCTGACTGTGAACTAGCGCCTCCTCATGTCCAACTTAAACCTTCCCTCCGCCAGCTTGTGACCATTGTTCCTGGTCACTCCTTGCGGCGCTCGGGGGAACAGGGACTCCCCCAGCGCCTGCTGATCCCCCCTAACCAGTTTATAACAGGCCACAAGATCCCCCCTCAGCCTTCTCTTTTGAAGGCTGAACAGGTTCAGGTCCCGCAACCTTTCCTCATAGGACCTACCCTGCTGTCCCTTGATCATACGAGTGGCCCTCCTCTGGACCCTCTCGATGCTGTCCACATCCCTCTTAAAGTGCGGCGCCCAGAACTGGACGCAGTACTCCAGCTGCGGCCTGACCAGTGCCGCATAGAGGGGGAGGATCACCTCCTTGGACCTGCTCGAGATGCATCTGTGGATGCACGACAAGGTGCAGTTGGCCTTCCTAGCCGCCTCCCCACATTGCCGACTCATGTTCATCCTGGAGTCAATAATGACTCCCAGATCCTTTTCCACCTCCGTGCTGACAAGAGGGGAGTTCCCCAGCCTGTATGTGTGGTGCCTATTGTGGTTTGGGCCTCAGTTACTGAGATATTGTATATAGACAGTAGCACATAAAACTATCCAAAGAAGAAAGATGAGAGAGACGAATTAGAAAAATGGGAAAGGAAGAGACAGAGAGAAGAGCTGAAGGCAATATGGTGACCCTAGGGAGTGAGGTGTCACAGAAAATGGAGCAAGAACATTGAAACTGTTTCATTCCTGAATGTTTATGTTGGATGAGGTAATTTCAAAATTAACATTTTATCACACTGGTGTTATCTGTAGTAACAATACATAAATAAAAATGAGTACAGCTGATGCTGAGGTTACTATATTCCTAGTTAAAACCAGAGAGTTTGTAATGGCTAGACCAATACAGTTTGGGAAGGACTTTGAGGTCTCTTGGAATCAAGGACACTACATAAATCTAAAGTATTCTGATTATTTTATAGCATGCTGTGATGATATAAGTCAAAAGTTATCAAATCATTTTCCTCAGCTGTCTTCTGAGAAGTGTGCACTGATAACCTTAAAACCAGCTTTGAAAAGGATGTAATTAGATGTTTTATATCACTGACTGAAGTCCTTTCCATATATCTTATGATTCATGGTTTAAGATTAACATTCAAGTTTCACTTTCCAAAAGTGCTGATTCTGGACATGTTTATAGACACGTTAAAATCAGAAGTCACTACCCTGATGCCCTTATGAGCACAGTCTGATATTCAGTGAAAAAGTGAGGATAAATCAACAGATCCAGTCATCCTCTACTTTTGTTGCGTGTTCTGGTTCCTCCATGATGCCCAACAGAGCTCTTTTTCTGAAGTCTAGTTCATAGCATGAAAGTAAAACAATTTAGTACCTCATACATATCAGTCAGCAGTGATCTGCTTTTTTATAATTACTAGTTTCTTGTGCGGTATAGGACATGACACTGGCATATGAAAATGCTCCTTTATATGACAGTTTCTTAGAATAATACATAAAATAATAAATAACAAAAAGCAAAGGTTTCTTTCGATGTAGTTGGAGAAAGGTATTTAAGATTCATTTCTTCCTGTTTGTGATTAGAATATTTTTTCAGGGCAGCTGGGACAGGTGTAAGCTAATAGATGAGTAAACCTGAACCCTGAGAAGCAAAGAAAATACATATTTAAAGTAATCTCAGAGTAGAGAGAGGTAGTTAGCTGTGTCAGTCTGAAATCAGGCAGAAGGCAGGGCAAGGTGGCATCTTAGAAATTAACTTGTTCAAGGTGCCACTCTTCCCTGTCTCCTGCCTAAAGTAATCTGGGGACAGCATGTTAAAGACTCATCTTCCCCTAAGCCCCCCTGTACACACTATAGGTATTGTACAATAAACTGGTTAATTGTGTAATTAACTGAGGCTAGCTACACATGGAATGGCAGAGACTACAGGTAGGTACAGCAGGGTCTGCCTGGCTTTCCTCTGCCCTTCCCCCCCGCCCTCACTGCTTGCTGGACAAACATGGATCCCCCTCTCCCTCCTTCCTACCTCCCACAACACAGACTCTAACCCCACGGACCCTAGGCATGTGGTATGCTAGCTAACACTAAGAGGTGTCTCTGTGTGTGAGTGACTCCAATTTCACTGGCACAGGCAGACAGAACAGTGACCGCTTAGGGCTTTTTGGAGCTACTCAACAGGTCAGCTGTTAAGCTGTTTAAGAAGAGTTTGAATTAATGGAGAGAGACTGTAGTTTTGCTGATGAGGTCATAAACACTATTATCAGCCCTCTGCTGGTTTGCTCACCTGTCAGTTTGCTGCAGACACTATAAAGAATCAGGGAGAGGGAGATTGAAAAGCTCCGTATCATCAACAGATGCATGCACTGAACAACCCCCCATTGCCTCAGAGTGCTAGCAGAGGGCTGGCAGCACTCCCACCCCCTGAGCAGCCAGTGGGGAAAAGCCTGGGATGGTGCAGGCAAACCTGCCTAGTAAGAGGTCCTGTTGGGGCCTGGCCATGCCCCACCCCTCAGCTCAATACTGTAGAAGGGAAGGGAGGGTCTGCTCTATACCCCCAGCTGCTATCCTGAGCCACTGCAGGTATGTTCCTGAATTTCCTCAGTCCAGAGAGGATGTTCTGTCCAGTTAGAAACCGGTTCAGCCTAGCCAGGTTAGACTAACCTGCAAAGATTTAATCAATTCAGGCTCAGACTTTTTGAATGTCTGTCCCTATCCTAACAGAACAGAAGTTCAATGCACATAAACTAGTTTCAAAATGGTTGAAACTGGCTTAAGATAAACCTGGTTGAATGTAGTATCAGAATTAACTGATTTGGTTCAAACCAGTTTATAAAACTTCTGTCCCAGACCCCTTCCTGGTTCAAGTTAAATCAGAGTCCCAGCATCACAGAATGCTTTGCAGCCCTCAACTGGGCTATACTGTCTTCTCCAAAGAGCAGGGGTGGCCCAGCCCCTCTGCTCCATAGTTGGAGCAGTGAGGGCTGGCTGACAAAGGGGTAGGAGTAGGAGCAACCCTGGCTGGGGATGTAGCCCAGTATACGGGGAGGTACTGCCCCTCTCCCCCCAAGCAAACACCCTAGGGTATGGGGCCAGGGAGAGGGTTAAACACCCCTTCCACCACTCAAACTTACTGTTGGCTGCAACTGTGGACTACAAATCCCAGAGGCACCTGGAAGCAGGAAGAGGAAGTGATGAGCAAACTTGCAGAGTCCTGCTGCTGTAATTCTGGACTGCAAATCCCAGAAACCTCAGGGGCAGCAGGAAGAGGAAGTGACCATACAGCCAGAGAGCCATGCTGTAGCGCCCCACAGCTTCTTGCCTGAGCCACTGTATGCATGCGGCTGCATTTCCTGAATCAAAGGTAAATGTCTGTTCACTTCTGTTTCAATTTAATCTGTGCAGTTTAGAGTAACCTGCAAAGATTGGATTTATTCAGCCTTGGGCTTTTTGACGGTCTGTAGTTAGCCTTCATGAATGTGTCCAAGGTCATGATAGAATACAATAATAATTGGACACAGACCTCTGCTCCTCTCAGATCCTGACTCATCTTCTTTATTGCATCTTCATGCAAATTTAGACAGTGGTTTGTAGGCTTTTGGTTATCCAAGTACTATATAGCACTTGGTAACTAATGATTCAATTCCTGAATGCAAGCTCTGGGACAAAGAATGTAGCCTAGTATGGGTACAACTGTCTTGTACCCATGCTGTCATACTCAATAAGTATGCTGATAGTGTCCTAAATGAGAACAGGAGGAAACAACCAACAGGCGTCAAGAGACCTCTACAAGGCCACAATATAATACAATAATACAAAAGGTGGGGCTACTCCTGGTTAGAATGTATGACTTGCATTGAGACAGCTCCATTGTGCCTATGCAAAATAGATTACATAAGGCTAACTGATAACTGATACAGGAATCAGGAACAAAGGAACAGGAATCAGGAACAGACTTCCAGGAAGTTTGATGAACAGTTGATCAGGGGGTAAGATTAGCTCAAAGCATGCAACAGTTCAAAGTGCTAAGTTGGTTCATGAGGAGAGAAAAGGCCTTACACATAAATTACACAACTGCCTCCACTGAAAAACTAGGTAGAGAGAAAATCAGTGCTGTGAGATTATAAATGACAGAGCAAACAAATCCCTGGTGAAGCTCATAGTAATGGCTGCTACATGAGAATGTATTTATCCCAGTGCTGGAAAGCCAGACAACATTCAGTATGGACGCAGCCATTAGACACTGTAGCTAAGTACAGTCAAAAAGCCTGAGGCTGAATCCTTCAATCTCCACAGGTTAGTCTAAGCTGCATAGATTGAACCAATAAGCAAGTGAACAGATATTTACTTTTGATTCAGGAAATGCAGCCATATGCCTGTAGCATCCCAGGCCAGAATCCAGGAGGCACTAGAGCATGCTTCCCTGCTCACCTGGAGCAGACAGCTTGGGCCAAGGCTAGCCCGCCCACCATGCAAGGGGGGAGAAGAGCTGCAGGGGGGAGGTGCAAAGCATCCTGGGATGCTGGGGGACTGTGAGTTAACTTGAACCTGGAGGGGATCTGAGACAGAAGTTTAAATAAATCGATTTAACGTAAATAGGTACGTCTGATACTATATCCATCCAGATTACCTTAAACTGGTTCCAGCCATTTTGGAAGTGGTTTATGTGCACTGAATTTATGTTGTGTTAAAGATTTGAACCATTTCTGATTACTTATACTGGCTTATGTGTACTTTCTATCCATAGCCCACCATGGTTTCAAAAGCTGATGCAATTTGGTTTTCTGTATTTTGCTTAAAAAGAAAATAAGTATCTAGCAAATCAAACACAAAGCATTTATTAAAAGAAGTATTTATGAACAACTATTACACTTAGGACAGAGTTCCTTCTCCCACTGTGAAATGATGAGGCATTAAAAAAAGTCTTTGGACTTGAAAAATGGAATCACGTTGGCTACTTCTCTGCACCTCAGGCTACAATTGAGAGTTGTTACATTTAAAATCAGGCACTATTTCATTTGCATACAGATAAAAAATACATAGACAAATATTTATGTAGAATTATACAACCCCAAATAGATGGAACCATTGTAACAATGGTGGAGTTCATATGGTACCACATCAAGAGCGCATACACATCTTTATTTTTTCCTATGACTTTTATAAATAATTATACTTCACAAGAATATTAGTAGTTTCAGTGCTATATCTGTGGAGTATTGAAACATCGGAAAAGTTGATCCCTTTCTCTGTCTCAGTAAATTCAGCCAAGCCTAGAAAATGTATCTATCACAATTGATTTATATATGTGATGTGTAAGCCTAATCTCACCTGTCATGGTGTCTTTCCTGGAAGTGTGTTCTCCTTTATTTCCATGGTAAGTGGCATTTGTTCCAGTTGATTCATAGTCTGTTTTCCTTTCTTTTAAACTGATCATTTCCCGAGGTGAGGCAGGGGCACTTGCTAGATAATAAAGACAAATTTATTTTTCTTTACTCATATTACTGAACAACATTTTAACACTGAGATAGCTAATGTACTAATAGTTACATTTATTACTATGCAGTAATTAAGGTGAGTGAAATGCATAGATGACAGACTGAATTTGGGAGGAGGTTAGAAGAGCTTCTGTTTCAAATGTAGGAGAAACATGCATTTCTTCTGAATGCATTTCTGCATTTTTGTCTGCATATCTTGATTTACAGTTTTGTTTACAAGCACCATCTGACATGATCATACTAGAAAAATATTTGCAAGAAAACTATACTTTTTGCTTTCACCTTTCTGTTTCTTTATGAATCTGTCAATATTTTAAATCATAGGCTGTTTCATTTTTCCCTACATAGTCAGTTTTTATTGAAAAGCCACTTATAAGCATCAACTGAGAGGACCAAAACTTTCATTAAAAGTTTCCTCATTTCATTACTTAAATATTAACAGGAACTGTGTAATGGTATTGAGAAAAAAATTAATCTTCATGGAAAACATATAGATAAATGCTTAATACGTGAAAATAATTAAAATAATCTGATGTTGGTAAGATGGTTATAATGATTCCTATATACAGCAACTACTATTAAAAACCTGGCATCTACAAAACTACTGTAGAATTGTTACAAATAATTTGTATTTGATGTTTTAAAATTTCTGAGATTTCATGTCAAACTGCTTTTCAAATGCATGTTTTCCTAGACTGGAGTAACAGCATTTACTTATATAAAGTGACTAGAAAATTCTTAAAGATGATCACCATTTTTAAAAATATGATTTTCTGGACACTTCTATAGTGCTAACCACTAGAATTTAGGGAATAGCTGTATTAATGTTTTATGGCAAAGTGTTATTAATAAAATTAAGAAATGTTACTTCCTGAGTTTACTAATTAGGGCATGTTAATATAGTTGTTAGACTTTTATTTCTCCAAAGTTAAGTTTAAAAAATAGACAGGTTTTTCTTTCAGACAATTACCAGTTTTGCATTCTTTCTTAAACGGTAAAAGAGGTTGGATTATATATGAACCTAAGATATTTATCTCTCCCAGAATTTAGCATCAAATAACCCTGAACAAAACGAAGGCCATAGCAAATTCTCCTCAGGTATTCTGTGTTCTGCACAAATCCACTTTTTGGTAATTTGTGGTATACAGTAGGGGTGTGCAAAGCAGCCCCTATTCAATTCAGATCCAGCCGGAATCAGGGACAATGATTCAATTCATTGATTTGGCTCACTGTCCCCGATTTGATTTAGCTGAATCCGAATCTAAAGATTCGATGCTGATTCGGAGAGTCAGCGATTTGGACATAGACATAGCTTTAAAAGTTTTTATACATACCTTGAGGTAGCAACATGGCTCATGGTCATTGTGATGCTGGGGTGCACAGGAGTGCAGGGGGGACCTCCACATGCTTGGCGGTGAACCCAGAAGTGGACTTCTGGTACACTTTTGGGTCTGCTGGGGAGCATGCAGGCCCCCACCCCCCTCCCAGAACCCCTGTGTGCCTGCCTGGTCTCCAGTAGGTATTCACCTGCTGTCTTCACGCATGTGCCTGATATCGACCATGACGTTGGTGTTAGCCCTCCTTCAATGAACCCACAGTCTCTCTGGGAAAAGCCCTGAGACTCACCTGCCACAACTTAGATGGTAATTTCAGGGGTGGGCTTCCCCTCAGTGGGCTCACTCGGACAGACTGCAACCCTCAGTGGATCTCCATAGGGCTCCGCCTCCCCTACACCCCATCCACACGCCAGCCTTCATAATGACTGCCGCTGTTCCCCGGCTCACCTTCCGGTGTCACGTTGCTCCTGTTGAGATGCTCCGGACTGCTTGATGGACCTCTGACTAGGTGTGCCCTCTGACTAGGACTGTCATCTACCGCCCCTCCTCTCTTTCGGAGCGTTGTCTTTGCCCCGCCCCCAGCCCTTAGTTCAGGGCCTTTCGGGGTGCCCCTGTCCTGGCCTCAGAGCCTCTCAGGGCTAGTTCTTATCAAAGGGGTATCTGAAGGCCCCTTCGTAACTGGGTCAATGAAAGGAAAATAAAAAGGAAAGAAAAAAAACCAAGGCTTTCACCCTTGATCCAGGGCAGTGTCTGGTCTACCCCTTTTCTTACAGTCTTCGGTGTCCCTTGATGTGTCCCCCTGCTCTTGCCTCTGCTGGAGGCTCTCCCTGGTGCCCCTGCTTGGGATCCCTCAGCATCCCCTGGCATAGCACCCGCCCGGTGGGAGAAGCACCTCCAGAGTCCTTCCACTGCAGCAGTCCCCCCCGTCTCCCTCGATGCTGGTTTTTATCCTTGCCAGGCAGCCTTTGGGGATGATGTCACCTGCTCATGCCAGCTCGAGCTGGAAGTAGGTGCGGCTCACAAACTGTGCAGCCATTTGGAGCGGGTGTGTCATGTCCCCTCCTCCGTTACCTGAAACAGGTCAGTCTGCCCTGGTCTCAGGGCTTTTTATGGTGGGGTGGGCTGTCCCGTACCCTGTCCCGCTTTGGGGGGGCAAGTCCCCTTTCTCCCGGTGCTTATCTTCCTGGGACACCGCGGCTTGCCAGTCAGCCATGGGGAGACCTTGGGTGCCTCCCCAGACCCAGGAGGCACCAGTCACAGAGCCGTCAGGGCATGGGGGGCCCCGTGGCACACTTCCTAGTGGACCCAGAAGTGGACCAGAAGTGGTTCTGTCCACTTCTGGGTCTGCTGCCTAGCATGCTGGGGAGCCCCCCACACTTCTGTGGGGTGCTCCATGCACCCGAGTATTGCAGCACTCTCAAGCCTTTGCTACCGAGAGGTATGTAGAAAAAAACATTTAAAGCTGTGTCTATGCCCAAATGTCCAAATCTCTCTGAATTAATTCAGAAGGTTCTGATTCGATTCAGAGCGATTAAAGGGTCCTCTGATTCAATTTGGATATGGCGATTCAGCCACCGAATTGGGCCAAATCTCCGCCGAATCAAATCAGGGACGAAAGCTTCGCACAGTCCTAGTATCCATTCCCCAGCTCAATACATCAACTGATTTTTGTTCTCCCAGGCAAAATAAATTGTGGTATATTCTTTTCCATTATTATTGGTCATATGTACTCTTACATGCTAAATCAATCTGGTTTTAAGAATTTTTCTTTTTACCTAGTCAATAGCACAATGAGTCTTCAAAGGAACAGAGAGCAAGAAGGATTTATTTTTTCCTGGACTAGCAACGAAGTGGAGTTTGTTCCTCTAGTAGTAAGTAGAGTCTGTCTGTCTCATGAGACAATAGAATTATACCAAGTGAGACATCAATACGCTGATGTAATTCTTGCTTGAAAGATAAAGCAAAGCTGGAATGACCTCTCCATGTTGTGAAAGTTTGGGCAGTATATGGAGACACTGAGGTGCCTGCGCACCAATGTCCCTGGGCCGCCCCTGGATGGGGGTGGAACTGGGGTGACTGCCCCAGGCCTTGTGCATTGGGGTGCCCCACAGAGCCGGGCACAGCAGCTGCGGTGACTCCACACTGCTGCCAGCTTCACATCTGACCGCTTGGCATTCCTCCCCCACCGCTGAATCTGCCACTGGCTTCCTCGCATCTGGGGGTGGGGCCCTGTACAGGCTGATTTGCCCCGGGCCCTGCATTCTGCTTGGATTGTCTCTGAATGTCCCCCTCTCAACCTTGCTGGTTTAATCCAAAGGAAAGGTAGGTGCCGATATGTATGGAACCAGCTTGGTTGTAGGAGCTGCTGGGTGGAAATGGCTTCATGCAGAAGAACACCTTCTAGTCTTACCCCTGGCATGGGAAATGCCTCTAAGAAGTTGTGGAATTGAAGCCTACTCCATGATAGGGTAGACCGGGCTCTTTAATCCCACTTGACAGTCAGTCTAGAAGCAGAGCCCTGAGAGACGGACAAATAGCAGCTACTTTTAATACGGTGCTGATTCAACATTGTCACAACATAGGCAGTCAACAGGGCTATTAGGTCCCTCCTCCTCATCTCTAATCTAAATTTTCTCTGCTGCTATTGCTCCAGCTAATAGCAGGCTTTTTGTTTTAACAATTGTTTATAAATCAGGCTCTTAATATGGGGAAATCATTGGTTTAGCAGAAAAATAATCAAACTTAGTCTTTTTCTTTTGCTATCCAGCTGGAAATCCAAAAGAAAAAACCCTTTATAATAAATAAAACTGCTTAAGGTGTAGAAATATTGTCACAAATGTACTTAATCCTAGGTAGCTTCACTTTTGTGTTTTTACATCTAACTAGAAATCAGCCAATCTGCCACCAAGGGATATTCAAGGTTAAACCTCTATTAAAAGGGATGTCAATAGAATTGTTCTCCCTGAATGCAGCCGGAGAGACAAAGCTCTTATATTGGCATGGTACACTTGATGAGGTCTCTGGTGGTAAATACAATTTTGACTGCTGATAATTCCATGGCAAAACCCTCACAACTGCACTCCATGCTTACTCCAGCTGGGAGCAAACCATCATCAAGCACAAGGGTATTTGGAGGGAACTGAACATCTGTTAACGTGATCTTTCTGAGTCTTTTGTAGCTATTTTGCCATTTTCAATGCAACAAAATTCACAGGTTGTATTAACCAATTCCCTTTGTAAAGAGAAGCCTCTGGCTAGAAGTGCTATGCCAACAGATACTGCACAACGCTTTCTTGTACAACACTTACACTTTGTCAACACCTTTCCCTTGTAGTTGTTTATTTATCCCCAAATACCTCAGGAATCTCACTAAGTCTGTCTTTAGAGACAGGAGATTTGACCCAAGATACAGAGATTCAATAAAAAAGATATAAGTTCCCTTCAGAAGAATTCCAACATGCACAAAATGAGGCTACCTGTACCAAACTTTAACATATCAAAGTTTTTATGGGACTATCTTTCAGAAGGCAATATAGATTTGCACCTTATAGACTAATTAAATCACACACGCACATAGCAGGGAACAATACTGAAGGAAATATATCAAAGCATATTAAGACTATGCTTCCTGTAAAGCTACAGTGTTACCAAAAACAAGTGAGCCATTTTTACCATTTTATGGTTAATTTTCCCAGAGCTCAGCTCCCATTTGGATGTGGACAGAAGTGGCCAGATTTTCAAAATCTCAGCATTCTGAGGATTTTTTTTTAGACAAAGTGGCCCCAAAGTGCATACTGAATTTATGAATAAACCTTCACATTGGACCTGGTTTCCTCTGTGAACTTGGTTTCAATTCTAAATTCACCCCAGGTATAAATATGTACAACTTCCACCACTGAAGTAAATAAGGACTCTGTGTGTGTGTGTGTGTGTGTGTGTGTGTGTGTATTGAAGACAGGCACTTACAATAATTGGCTACTTTAGATATGTAAGTCTGAGCAAGACTTAGGAGAGATGCTAAATATAAGCACTTGAGTAGCATCACGAATTTTCTACAAATATTGGCATTTACTTTTCTGTATCAGAAGAGATGCCCATGTTTCCTTTCAAGACAGATGGGCAGAGGCCAAAAACTTTGGCCCTTCAGCACATGAGGAAAAAAGCCAGGGTTATGTTTCTCAGCGCATGGAATGAAGTTCTGGAATGTTTTACATCCACGCACAGTTAAACAATTTCGGTGAAAAAAAATTAGCAGGATATTTTAATGAAAAGCAGAGAAACATTTTGATATGTTCTTTTCTAGCCAGCTTTTATATATCCATAACAGGTTCAACTGAATAGCTATTTTTAGCATACTCCAATTAATATATCAGTAGGGGTGGTCAAGTGTAGACATTTTGGCTATTTTGTTGATCACAGTCCAGAATGTTAAAGGACCACTGGTTAATCAAACCTAGCTCCTTGTTCAGAAAATGACACAAGCACTTCATTTAAAAAATAGTAACTTGCACTGCATGATCAAGAAGTGAAGAGTGACAAGTCTGGTTTATTAAATAGTAGGTCACTTAAAAGTTCTGCCTTGACTTGCTAGCATTCAAGGTCGGGAGTGAAATCCTGCCTCCCCTTAATTAAAAGGGAGACCTTTTACTGTCTGTAGCAGGGCTAAGATGTCAACCCAAGAATTTATCAAAAAGCATCACAAAAATGGACAGAAAAAAATCAAACCAAGTCAAGTACTTTACCTCGGTTCTGATCAAAAAAGCTAAGGCAGAAACTGAACTAAAACTAGCTACAAGAATCAAGGACAAGAAGAAGTCCTTCTTTAGCTACAGAGGAAGTAAAAGGAAAACTAATGGGAGTGTGGGGCCGCTTCTCAATGCCTCAGGTTACCTGGTCACTGCCACTGAGGAAAAAATGGAACTCCTAAATGACTACTTTTCCTCAGTCTTTCACAGGACCAAGGGGAACAACATGCCAGGTAGGGCACAGAACGAGCAGGGCAGGATTGACACCGTTCCCACCATTGCCATAGAACTGGTGTACGATCAATTAAAGAAATTAGATGTATATAAATCAGCAGGACCAGATGAACTCCACCCAACAGTGCTGCAAGAGTTGGCCAAAGTAATCACAAAGCCCCTGGTGAAGGTCTATCAAAAATCATGGGCCTCTGGAGAAATCCCAGAGGACTGGAGGAGGGCCAATGTTGTGCCTATCTTCCCTTAATTTCATTCCCTAGAAATGCAATGTCATCCAAAATACCCAATCAGCTAATCAGAATATGGCTTTGAAATGTGCATCCCTCACCAGACTGTAATAGGACAGTATGTAGCACACAGCTTCAAAGGAGGCTAAGGCATCAAAATTCACATTATTTCACATACTCCTCATCATGTTAAACATGCTGCTTCTTGTACACAATCAAATGATAAGACATAACCGTCTCTCTGTTCCCTGCAGGAACTACATCCATCCTCCTACACCAGAACAACAGCTTTCTAGCAATTATTCAAATCCAGAAGTGGACTCCTGCAGAGATTTTATTAGAAGCAGGCATGAAACTGTCTGCTGATGGTAGACTGAGAAGGGTTTTCACTACTTACTCTGAGAGGGAAGCCCCATATGTTAGTCAAAGAAAGGCGCCCTCCCTGAACCACAGAAATGGGAGATACTTAGGGCAAGATTTTGAAAGGAGAAAGCTCAGGGCCAGATTTTCCGGATGCTAAGTGACTACGGGTAAGTAGAAGGCAGCGCAGGTTGGCATCTTAAAAGCTAACCAAAGAGGGAGAAAGAGAGAGAGAGAGAGAGAGAGAGAGAGGGTGTCCAGGAATGGGAGGACTGGAGCAGCCTACACTTTCCTCAGACAGGGATCACCCTAGGGTTACGAAGGCACAAGGACCAGTGGAAATGGGATGGTTGCAGACTGAACATCTGTATGCTTCCTGTCCTGGAATCATTTCTAGCAGTGGAAATTTTCCACCGCTAGAATTGAACATTTGTATGAAGCCAGTGTGTACAACAGCACTAAGATTTTTCACTTTCCCAATCAAACACTCATAACTGGTGAGAGCACATGGAAAATATTGAATGGACAGTTACAGGAAGACATTCCCTTGAATACTCTACCTGCTCACTATTTCTACAAAACTTTCTCATAAAAAGCATTCAGTGTTTTAAACAGGTAAACTTCATAAGAATGAAAAATGTTTTTCACACATTTCCATTATGATTAATAATGCATCCAGATGTCACTGACAGTGCTCAGTGATGGAGACTGACATTGATGGATTACATCTTTATTTACTTAAGTCCTGTAAGCATGGTCTTACCTGAGCGATTGTTAGGAGACATGCGCACAGGAGAGATGGAGGGTGTGCGTGATGAAGAGTATGGTCTTTGCCGATCCCTTTCTATTGTTGAAGATGAGGCTACAAAGTGATACTGTGACCATCCATCCTGCATAAGGGCAACATCAAACATTGGGACACATGTCAGTGAAAAAGATTCAGGTGTACAATACACTAACTTATGTAAAGGAAACATTGAATTTAGTCAGTGTTTTTGCTACTTATTATGAATAAAAACTAGTAAGTACAGTAATCACAAATTAGTTCACCACAGTCACTGTTTTCCAAAGTGAGGCTGCTTCACTCCTCATATTTACTGAGTGCCAAATGTGCTCAGCCCTGCCAAGATGTAATATGGGGCTCAGGCCCTGCAGTGATGTACCAACTAAAATAACTGAGACAAAAAGAAAAGCACAGCACTTGCAGACTACTCAAAATGATGGAAAAATTGAACACAATATGTTTTATTACTCTTCTTCCATTTTCATTCTATAGTTTTGCCATATTTCTAATTTTCACATTTTGATTAAATTCCATGAAGCTGGCAATCTGACAGTGAAAATATGCAGTCACAAAAAACTTGGCTTTTTTTACAGTGAAAATGCTTTTTGCCTGAAAATAATTTTCAATGTGAAGGTTTTCAATTTTTTTCTAACACAGTAAGACTTCAGATTTCATTTTTGCTGTATTTCATATACCTCCAGTCCTTTCAATATACCTTTTTATCCAGAAACTGGAAAAACAGAGTTGGTTCATTGTAGTATTCCATTATTATAATATGGTGCTGATTTTCCTTGCCAAGTTTTCTCCAAGGTGTACATACACACACAACCAAAACTAAACCAAACCAAAAATTAAAAAAACCACCACACAAAGCTTAATGCCCTTTGTATTTAAACTTGAAATATCTAGTAACATAAACATTTCTAAGTTAGCTGCTGCTGCTGCAGTTTGTACTTGAATGAAACATAAGAGCTCCTACAGCTGCTTTATATTTTTATGTAACATAACCTTATCTAATATAATATAATATACTGGTTAATATAAAATAGTCACGTTTTCTTAAATAATTAAAGTAGCAAGAATGCATAATGGGATGTAGTCTGGCTCTTTGTAACTGATACTGTTTCATAACGTTACATAATACTATTTCAGATGTCACAAAATATTAACCGATGACAAATGTCTTCATCAATGGTTCCTCATGTTTTTGAAGCTGTAATATGAACTTGGGCACAAAATCTACTCGCCTGATCATGCAATGAAAGCCTTTTAAATAAAAATGCTCTCCAAATGTTTTTTCTACTGACTTCAGTAAGTTTGGATCATATGCCTGATGAAATGGCACAAAGAATTTTGTGAGGCTGAAAAAAGTAGAAGGCATTTTTACAAGCATGAAAAAAGTATTCGGTATAAAACATTACCAAAACTGGTGCAGTTTTCCCTTTCAGTTGGTTATTTTGCTATATGGGAATAATTGGCACATATGAACCTTCAGAAAATGAGCAGAGCGAGTATGCGCCATTTTGTTTAAACAGTGGAAGCAAAGAAAATGCTTGCTCATGAGATTTTTACCTACAATGTATTATTTGCAAAAAATATTAGGAAACTGGAGTAGACATAATCATGACACAATTAAATGTTCTGAATGCAAAACTCTTACCTCTATACTGTTTGCATAGTCCATTCGTTTAGAGTTGGCTGTGTCAGCCACGCAGCTGTAGTAGATACGGTGAAAAGGGAAATTTAAAAATAAGATCTGGGCCTTGGCTTTTGTGGACAAGACCAATATTTGTTTTGGAGTGGCCAGATAGCAGGAAAAGCATGGTTGTTAGGGGCCTGCAGGCCCTATTCGATTCTGGTTTGGCCCGAATCAGGGACAGTGATTCAATTAGTTGATTTGGATCACTGTGCCCGGTTTGGCTGAATCTGAAGATTCGATGCTGATTCGGAGAATCAGCGATTCGGACACAGATACAGCTTTAAATGTTTTTTCTACATACCTTGAGGTACCAGCATGGCTTGTGAAAGCTGAGATGCTGGGGTGTATGGAGTGTCCCACAGGAGTATGGGGAGGGGCTCCACATGCTCAGCAGCTAACTGCTGGGGAGTGTGCTGGGCCCCACCCCCTCCTGGCTCAGCAATCAGCTGCAGCAGGACCGCAGGGCCCCCCTGCCCCAGACCTAGGAGGCACCAGTTGCCGAGATGGTGAAGGGCACGGGATGGGGGTGGGTGGGGAGCTGCACGCTCCCTGGTGGACCAGAAGTGCTTCTGGCCCACTTCCGGGTCTGCTGCCAAGCATGCTGAGGAGCCCCCCATGCTTCTGTGGGACACTCCATGTGCCCCAGCACCACAGGGAGCTAGGAGCAGCAGGCACATGGGTGTCTTACACACGTGTGCCCCCTTACCGGACCCAGAGCGGAGGTGAGAGCAGCGACAGCAGCAGAGGAACAGAGCA